TTAAAGCACAGCACAAAGAAGCTTAAGCCAATTCTGCATTGAGTTCGATCCCCGCCTGCCCCAGAGGAGATCCACATGGCGAGGCAGACCTCTCCTGACCCGCCCACTGCTCCCTTCAGCAGTGTACTTCGTCGATCTGCCTGTTGTTCCTCGCTGTCTCTGGTGAATCCTCTCACCCTCGGCATCTCTGGCCTGTACCCCAGTTCTGAATAAATAAATAAATCTTAAAAAAAGATATTTCTGGTTTCCCTTGCAATTAAGTATATAGGTCTCTCTTAGGGCCACGACGTTTTATGAAGAGCACCTGGGTGGTTCAAACTTTCATGAAATTGTTAGATTGAAATATGTATACATGAGCCTAGACCTGATACTTTTTGCATGGTAAAATTAGTTTCATATAGTCAAATTTCACATTAATACATGGAAGATATTGTGGATTTTTTACTTCTAGGCTTTAGTGTACCAGGTCCTGTCTAATAAAGTTATTTTCTGCTTTGGGAAATAGGGCAGAGCAAAATGTAAATATTCGGTAAGAGTATAATCTGGGACTCTTGGTGACACTTGTGTGGGGTAGATATTACTTTGCATCCCAGGGAGGCTTCTTGTGCCTATGTAGGTCTCCCTGAGCTTGAAGGAGTGATTTATTTAGGGGGTTGCCAGCGGGGGGATGCTGAGGAGCGTGGTTGAAGCCACCAGCACTGCCTGCTAGCCTTTCCTGGGCACTAAGTAAGGCATCTCCGGCTCCAAGGGATACTTTTGTTGCTGCAAGCCAAACAATTTAGGTATTCTGTAGTCGAGATTGTTTAAAAACTTGTTTAACTTGTGATCTCATATGCACACATTCACACGCACACACATCCACCCAGTATACACACACAGAGGAGGGGAGAAAGGTTCCAATTCTTTGTAATAGCCTAATTTTGTCATTTTACTGCATCTGCAAGTTGGATCAAGGCAACATGTTCAGAACCATTATGTTGTCTGCCTGGAAGAATACTTCCTTCAGGGAGACATACTGATCTATTGGAAAGTGATAAAACATTTTGGATCCATGTAATTACTGCAGCCTTGAAGGAAATATTTGTTTTGGACTCAATAGTGGGAATGCATTTGCTTTCTTGAGGGAGCATTGTTGCCAAAGGAAGTAGCTTTTATTAGCGAGCAGATGGTTTGGTTATCAGGTTGGGTTTTTTGTTTATTTTAGTGTTTCTTCTTTTTTGGTTTGAGCCTTAATTCTATTTAGAAATAGTTGCTCATGTCATTTACCTTTCTGGGCCCTGTCTCCCCCATTTAAAAAAAAATCAGTAGCTGCTTTCCCAGTATTTCTTCAATGAAGAAGGTGTTGAGGATAGTTGACTGTTCTTCTAGAACATCCACTGGTTCATGTGAAAACACAAAACAAGATATTTTTGAACAAGTAAGTTTAAGATCGGTAGAAGACACTTAACTGGGAAATCTAATTTAAACTGAAATGAACTTGAAAAACATTTGGGAAAGAAAATTTAAGGAGACTGCAGTGTCTTACTACAAAGGTTTCCTTTGTTGTAGACTTATTTCTCCACCCAAGGCAAGTTAAAAAAAAAAATATTAGAAAACTCTTAATGATGTACATTTGAATTGTACTTTGAACCTATTTTTTGAGTTATGGGAGTTTTTTTCAGTCTTTTTTTTTTCTTATAGTACAAGTTTCTACAGCAAATCATGCTATCCTGTTCAGTATAATGGGTTAAAACTTGCTTATTCTCATAATCCTAATGTACATACATACATACTTGTACAGACTACGTAAGCTGTTTTAGAATTGAAAATGAGTAGTTTCCAGCTGTGTTAAGCAGAATAGCAGCACTCTGTTAAATAATAGACAGGGTTATGAAAAATTTCCCTGCTAGCAATCTTTCTACCCCCCTCCAACTATTTTTTGAGTCTTAATGTAGAAAAATTCAAAATGTGTTTAATTGACAGAATATATAATAATCTACCTTTCATTAATGGGTGGCTTCCTTGGGAATTTTAAGAGATTAGATTTGAGATGATTTGGGGGCCCAGTGTGTGGTATTCAGTATGTGAGTAGATGCATAGACAGTATTTAACCATCAACTCTTCCATGGTGTGCTGTCAATTTGATCTTTCATCTGTCTTGTCTTGTAATTTTAATACATATTCATGACATTATTTGATGTTGTCATACTTGGCACCCAATTTTGATCATTTCTCAGAGCCACTGATCCATAGGACCATTCCATTGCCATCTGCTTCAACCCAACTGCATCCCTTGAATTCCTGTTGGTGTTGCGTCAGGTCTTACTTTAAAAGTGCTCTGTAGTCATTAACTTTGGTAGTAGTGAAATAATCTTTGAAGTGATACCTGTGATACATTAAAAAATTCTTGAGCTGTATTTCTATCATTAGCAATGCACACTTCTCATTGTAGGTGTATATTTGATTTCAAGTGAAGTCTAAAGAAATGAACATCATGCATTGACTTGTTGAGTTGATTCTTAGCATCTCATCAAATTCTTCTTTATATATAAACTTTATGGCACAGCTACTAAAACCCAGATTAAGATAAATGTCAGTTTCTAGCTGATGTTCTAGGGAATCAAATGTTGCATTGACAATTATTTTCTTTAAATTGTTTTGAGTACCACTTAGTAAGGTTAGAGTAGGGGAAGACTGTGACCTTGGCTAGTGTCCATAATTATAGCCTTATAAATAGACTTGTAATAAGTGAAGGTCAGAAAATAAAGCACTGTATTTTCATACAGAAACAAAAGACTATTCTCTATTCTATTTGTGGTAAGGCTTTCAAACTTTTAAGTTGTAAGACTACTCTCAATTAAATATATTCTCTGTACTTACATTGTGGGCAAAGGAAACACAAAATTTGTCATCTGAATGGTTATTGTGGTCTTAAGAAGGATACAGCACTTTACTAAAAATGCAGCATTGAGACATATTAGCAAAACCCTCAGAGGTTTCTCTCCCCACATAATAATAATTTCAGTGCATTTCTGTATGTACCAGGCACTGTGCTAAGTGCTTTATTTACATTAAAAAATGACTTTGGAAGTTGACATGGTCATATAATTTTGCATTTGCAACATGAGCCTTTTGGGTTAAAAATCTTCATTTAAATTCCTGCAAACAAATGGAGTGTGGATGTGCAGTGGGTGGTTTTTAAGCTTAAATATCTCAGCTGGATTTAATTACCTTAAGGGCTAAGGCTACATGATGGGCCAGTGGTTTACCAAATTATTTTTCATTTTCTGGATCTCGATGTCACTAAAGGTTAATGCATCCTCTTTTCTCTGCTAGAGACCTGAGTTAAAATCCATTTTAGAGCATAAGTGTAAATGAATTTGTTGTTGTTTTTCCTCCGTGGGGACACTTTGGTCATTTTGTGAGACTGCCTTTCCATTTGGAGTGGCTGGCAGCTGCCCACGGCCCGGGGGCTCCCATGGGGGGGGGGGCAGTGGCAGGATGGCGTGAAAATGAACTGGGAGGCCTCAATGGGCAGAGCTGGCCCAGGGTTGTCACTCTCTCATTCCTGGGTGCTTTCCTGGTTAACTTACAGAAACTTACTTGCTCCTGACACTTGATTATAGCACATCACAAAGCATGTGATGTGTTCGAGGGTAGCACATTGCATTTTCCTCCTGACCTCCACCACTTGCATATGGCAACTAAAAAGTTTCCCGGAGTCACTGTCCACAGCTCCTAGAGCGCTGTTGTGCTCACATCGCCCTGGACTCAGCATCCATGGGTGCCGTATGTATCGTGATGTTCATGCTCTCGGGCTTCGGGGTACTTGCTAAGGAGCATGTTTGTGTCCAGGATTACACTTAATGCTTTCTCCCCAGAGTATCACTAGCTATTGCTTTTATCTGCACATAGAAGGAATAATTAGAAGTAGAACCTAAACAGGGAATGGTCTCAGGGTGTCAGTCCCTGCAGGGAGCTTGGTATAGGGCCCTTTTCCCTAAGTTCTAACGCTTCTCTACTGTTTTATTCTTTGTTTCTCCCTTTATTTCTGCTAAGGAAAAAATGTCTGTATTCCTCACTATTTTTCCCCCGTTATACAAGCTCATTATATACATAGGAAGACATAAAAATAAACTCACATACATGGAACAATGGGATCCTGTCATACCTGTGGTCTCTTTGTGTCATTTTTACTGGCAGTTGACACTTTCTTTTTAATTTTCTTTTAATATACTCTATCATTTTTGTATAGTATATTTAGGCAAAACACTACATGGCATACATGTAGTGACACTTTGTGTGCGTAGTGGCTTGTTCCGGGTTCCCTGAGGCCCTCAATGCTTGTATATGACTTCTTTAGTCCTCCAACCTATTTTTTCCTTAGAATCTCCCCACTCACTTTCACCTTAGAACAGGGCTGTCTGTCCTCCTTATAGTTTATCTTCCAGTCTCCATTTGAAACCTCCCCTTCTATTAAACAGGATCCAGTCAAGGAGAGATAGTGACTGTTGTCTATTTGTGGCCTTCAGACAAGAAACATCCAGGAGCGCGCAAGGGAAACACTGTGTGTAGACACACTTGTGTTCTGAAGCCTGACGCGTGACCACCACGAGGATTACATTTTATGTAGCATGCTTTTTATTTATTAGTTTGAGAAGGCCACTGGCTAGACCATGAATGAAGCCATTAGTACCTGGAGTTCTTGTGAGACTGGGAATGATGTCACCATTAGGGAGTCATTTGCATGTGCCTGTATTTGGGGTAGGGAGTAAATAGTGCATACAGCTCTGTTGTGCCTTATGCCTTCATACTTACTGTAGTCAATATTGTTTTCTTCAGCACTGTCTTAGGTGTTAAGCCCTTCAAGAGTCCAACCAGGCCTATCCCCATTACACCCTACAAAGCCCGAAGCTTGCTGGAAGGTGCTCAGAGTTCCTTTGGACGATAGCCTTTAAAGAGTCTCACTTATAATAAAGCTAGATTTCTCACTTAGACTTAACCTTCTTTTCTTTTTTCAGGTGTCAGCAGTTGAATCTTTGGAGGGCCCCCTGCTCCAGGTGGAAGGACTGAGTGACCTTAGGTTGGAGCTTCACAGCAAGAAGATGAACCTCCACTTGGTTCTCATCGATGAACTGCACCGGCATCTGTACATCAAATCTACTAGCAGAGTCATGCAGCAGCCCAAGGAGAAAGGAAGGATGAGGTTGGTCAGAGGCTCTTTACAGTATTTTTGTAGCAGTGTCATATTTTAGAGACTCGTTTCTCACAATATCGTTGAAGTTATTTTATTAGCATACTATCTGTAAAAATAAGATGGTTTTAGAATAGCAAATACTGTGTTCTGTGTGTTCTGAAAGGTTGACATTCCTCATTCCTTTATCGTGTGTACATTCTCTTTTGTTAAAAAAAAAAAGCATTTACTGTGGGCCTTTAGTATAGTGGATCGGAGATGCTCTATCTATCTCAGAAGGAAGTGATAAATATCCTTAAACTGGATAGAGAAGTCAGTCTCCTGAAGAAATTCAGGTGTATGAACTGCACTTATGAGTTTCTTTGTTACTGAGGGTGGTGTTGAGCTGTGGACAGTCCTCATATGGCATAGTTCAAGAGACGTTCAGAGGAAACACTGTGCTGATTGTGGCCATAGTGCTGATTTGAGAGCCTGGCTGGACTACAAGAAACTTGGAAGATAAGTAGACATGGTAAGAAATAAAACTGGACCTTAAGAATATTGGTGTTAGAAACATGTATTAGATATCTATGCACTATATGTCTTTTCAACATTTCTTTAAAATAGCCATAAGTTCTCTTCAGAGGACACTTTGACACTGCTGAAATACACGTGTTCGTGCTTTTTCATCCAGCTGCAGATAGGTGTTCCAGAAGCAGTGCATGCTGGGAATGAAGTCTTTCGTGTTGTCCCGTTCAGACAAAAAATGCCAACTTCACAGGTGATGCTTTAGTTTACTCAGAGACCTTGGCAGAGAAGGTTTCCTATCTCTGTTACGCAGATGGTCACTAAATAAACTCCTACATGCAAATTGAGCTACAGGGTATGTCCCTGACACTTCAAGACTGGATGTAAGTAGAATAACTGTACATTATCAGAGAGGAGTGGAGAAGGGCAGCACCCAGGAAATTCCCAACTGTGTTGGGTGGTGAATAAATGGCAGGTCTGGGCACATTTCTTTTCGCGCAAGACTTCATAAGCAAAAGAAATATACCTCTGGGCCCTGTGGAAATACCCTATGACAGAAGGGAAAGTGAGCCTTACCTTGACATCTCAGAAAAGACCATTTTTCTGGGGAATATTTTTTTATAGCAATATGTGAAAAATTTAGGAGGCTTAAGCGGAAGGTGTTTGAAAAGATACAAGATGATACCATAGATTTGATAATCAAAATAATCCCTGGAGTGGGACAATCTATGTTACTATAGATTTAACTGTCTTTCCTGTGCTTGGAGCTCTTGGTGCAGATTGTAAGCACATGCCGCACAAAGTGAGTCTCGAAAGGTGTGTGTGCCAGCAGCCCTGCTCACTTGTGCTGCTGCCTTTATTATGGGGGCGTGGCCTTGGGCTGTGAGAGACCTGGGGAGCCCAGCCAAGCTCAGCTGAACTGCTGGGCCTGAAGCCACCATCACCAAAATATGTGCTTATTGTTACCACGCTGAGATTTTGTGGTGGTATCTAATAGGCATGAGCTTCCCTTAGTGGTAGTGGGGAGCTATGAGAATGGAACAGGGGCAGATGCTTTACAGGCTAACTAAAACGTGGACAAAATGCAAGGACAATCAAAATGACGGAGAAAAATTGAAGTCTTTGCTAAAAGAAGAGTTGAATCCCTGATAAGGAGGGAAAACTTTCCTCATCATGAAGTAGAAAAGAAAAACTAATGAAAGAAAGATAAGAAATGAAAGATGGAGAATTGGTGATGTTAGATGTTCCACAGAATAACAGATTAACTTTATGGGCTGAATTGCAACGCCCTGAAATCCTAATACTGAAAGCCTAATTCCCAGCACCTCAGAGTATGACTGTATTTGGAGATTCGGATCTTTCAAGTGGTAAGTAAGTTAAAAGGAGGCAGGTAGGGTGACTCCTACCCCAGTCTGGCTGGTGTCTCTGAGAGGAAGGAGCCAGGACATAGCTCCACACAGAGGGAAGGTCTTGTAAAGAAACAGTGATAACACAGCCATTCAGAAGCCGAGAGAGGAGAAACCGACTCTGTCATCACCTTGATAATGGACGGTTAGCAGAACTGTGAGAAAATGAATTTGTTGTTGAAGCCTCTGAGTCTGTGAGACTTCATTGTGGCATCCCTAGCACACTGCTACCGAGAGGAGCAGAGCAGTCATTGCAGTGTAAATAAAGCCGCCCACTTCAACAGAAAAAAGATTTTAGTCTTCACATCAGAGGGATTCAAGGTAGAAAGTAGCGGTAGGAAGAGGAAATTTTTGTGAACTTCAAAAGCGAATTCTTTAAGCATTAGGAAGAAAATTGTATTACTTACTCTGACAGAGATGATTCTTTGCCCACTCACTCACTGCTCATTCTTTCATTCATTTTTAATGACAGCCCTTTTGTTTTTGGTGGCTATATGCCCAGCAAAAAGTTTTTTCCTCCTCTTAGATAGCTAATGGTGATTAGTAGGACTTCTGCATGCCAGGTGTTGAATCAGGACTCTTAGGAAAATTCTTCAGAGGTGTCTAGTAACCTGGTATACTCATTCTTCTATGCTCCTCTTCCTTTCCTTTCAGATTAGAGCATGAATTGGTGCCCTTAAAACACCCTGGCCCCTAGGTGATCTTAGGATGGAACCCACATCTTCAACTCCCTTAGTAATCACAGTGCCGCTGTCACAGCCCTGAATGGGGTCTTACATCTTGTGTAAGACAGGAAGGGAAACTTTTGTTACTGCTCAGGCCACTGTTATTGGGCTCTTTTATGCAGTTAAGCCTTGTCCTGATACACAAAAAATAAGCGAAAATATGGCTAACCAGAATTTGACCAGAGGTCTGTGGCCAAAGAATATAATAAACTGAAATTGAATCCCTACATTATACTGGGAAATTTGGACAAGAAATAGAAAGCACACAATACCAGAAGACAGTGCTATGAAATCTCCAACGTGTTGAATAGGGAAAAACTTGGACCAAAGATAATCTCTACCTGGCCAACTGGATATTGATATTCAAAAGCAGCAGAGAGACAGTCTCAGATACAAATTAACAAAAACCAGAACACTAGTGTTCTTTTTCCTAAGGAAAATACTCAAAGATGCACTCTAAGATGAAAACCAAATTCAACCCCTTGAGAACAATGAGTAGGTAATTTAAAACTACTGTGAGGACTAGACACCATTAATATGTAAATGTGTGGCACCCTTCTCCCCTAAATCTGCCCACTTACTCTTGAGTGTGTTACTATCACCTACAATAAAGCTTCATTTCTAACTCATCTAAAAAATAGGCAAATTTGCATATAAATAAATGACAAATATTTTTTTAAGATTGAAAATCTTATAGACTGTTTTTGAACAAGGTCTGTGACCAAAGAATATAATAAACTGAAATTGCATCTCTACCTTATATTGGGAAATTTGGGCAGGTAGGAAAAAGAAAGGAGTGTTAAATTCTGGCTGCTTATGATGAGTCAGAAATGGTTTTGGATTTTAATAGTTAGAGAAAAATATTTAATTCATTTTGTTGTGTTTATTAACTTAGATATGTGTATTTCAATATTTCTACATTGAAAAATCACAAGACAGAAGGAACTAAAACATTCAACCATGAAGGACTTGAGCTGATGTTCTTGATTGCAAATTGCAGAAATCAGTGTTGGTAACTAAAACAAGGAAAGAAATTTATTGTAAAGCTGATGATTCCTACACTCTGAGGGAAGGGAAGGCAGTCTGCATGATAAGCCTCTGCCATCCAGCGGGGTTGGGGGTGTGGAGTGGGGTAGAGCAGCAGAGCCCCCGGAAGGGTGTGCTGGGGTCTCTACCCTGCCAGCACCCTGCCTATGCAGCGGGAGTTCTCATGTCCCTGTGTGTAATGTGGAAATGTCTCTGCATCTTTCCTTTATTACCTCCAAATTCTAAGTCTTCGGTGGAAGCATCCAGTTTGTTGAGTCTGGGATATGTCTAACCTTTAATTTTTAGAGTAGGAAGTTGGATCTGCTTTCTTTCTTGCTTTTTGACTCAGACCATAAAGTGTATCTCCAAATACAAAGACAATTGTTGATCGTTGGTCTCCGGAAACAAACACCCAAGAATGAATGTCTGCAAGAAGAATCAGAGAACCACATGAGGACACATACATAGGAAGACATTTTTGAAGTAGAAATAAACAATTGGTAGATTGACTAATGAAGGGTAGATGCCTCTGTGGAAAGAGTAAAAGTGTATTTGGATGATATGGAGAAGACCTTAAATAAACAGGAAAACCGATGTTTTTAGCTAATAAAGATGACAGTCTCAGATAAACCTGAGTTTTTATTTCATTGATTTTTTAAAAATAAAATTGTGTTGACTTAACATTAGTTTACAACAGTACATAAATTTGGGGAGTAATATATCAGCTGAGTTTTTTAAAAACTCTAGTAGACATGGAAGAATAAATGTGTGAGCCACTGAAATTGAGATTATAGAAGAGGTTTTTCTTATCTAATACTGAAAAATAAAGCTACTTTAGTCAAAACAATGTAAGTATATAGACAGAAAATCAGGTTTGTGGAGTGAAATCGTTTCAAAACAGGTTCCAGGTTATATGAGACTTTGGTATGTTTTCACAGTAATTCAGCGCAATGGAGCATATGGTAGGCAAGTAGTATTGAGACAATTGGCTATTTCAAGAAAATATATTTAGATGCCTACCCTTTGCTACGTGAAAAAATTCTATCTGATTATATAAAAGTAACATCAAAATTTTATTAACAGAAAAAAATAGACTTTATACATGCATATCCTACAAAAAATTTCACATCAACATTTGTGTCTGGATTTCATTGGAACATTGTTAGCAAAAACAACAAAAATAGACAAATGTGCCTCAGGAGAAGTCTGTTTTAATGAATTATGGTATACCCATGCCATGCCATAGACCTGAAAGCCAGTAAGAGTCTTTGTCTTGATAGGGAAGGATTTCTCAAATGTATTCTTTGGTCCCAAACAAACAGGTTGAGAAATAGCATGTAAAATAGGAATCTACATAAGAATTGTAAGGGTGTATAGTTTAAAAATTATCCTTGATATACATGTGTATGTTTGCATGTGTATAGAATATCCAGAGAGACATTGCTGAAATATTGATGAAAGGAATTACCTATGGGAAGTGGAAACTCAGGGGTGGGGGAGAGAGGGAGGAGCGGAGGAGGGTGGGTGATAGAAAGGACTTACTCATAAACCTCTGCAGTGCCATTGTATACACCAAGAGCATGTGATAATGTTGATACAACTAAAATGAAAATTATTTTAAATGAAATGGTAAAATGTTGCCAAAGAAGACAAGGACTATCTGAAGAACGTTGAAAAAGAGCAATGCATATTTTTTTATGTTGTGTGTGTGAATGTGCATGTAGGGGACAGGGACTGGATGACGCCCAAAGACTCCTTTCAGAATGTTTGGGAGGTATCACATAACAATCAGACTATTGTTTTTATTTTTCTAAAAAAGAACCTGCAAACAAAGTTTTCACTAGACAGGCACTTTATGTAGCTAAACCATGGCATCTGAAGTATAAGATGTCTTATCTGATAAGACTTGATCCTGTTTACTTATTGCAGGCATCTTGGGTTAGTACTTGATTTGTTTGATTTTCTTGGCTACTAGCTGTGGAGGCCAGAATTTCAGACTGGTGGGTTTTGTGTCCTTTTGGTTTTCTTGAGAAATGAAGAGTTTTCTTGACCCAATTGTATCGTTTTTGTGTAACTCTTTGATCTTAAGTTGTTGTTTTTAAATTTAGAGGTATCTGGTTTTGTTCTTGTTGCATCTTCGAGTTGTCCTCTCCTTCCTTCCTTTTCCTCTAACACCCCTCCTTTCTCCCTTCTTCCCTTTCCCCTTACCCCCCTCCTCCTCACTCCATCCTTCTCTCTCTCTGCTTCGATTTTAGATGCACTTTATTTTGCATTACATATCGTCACTCTTGGTCTATCATTTGAGACCATGACTGTTTTTGACTTTTATACCCTCTAAATTATTCATTGTTCGTTCTGTATGTTCAGCCAGCTCTTCGTACTATAGAGAATTATTATGCCAGCCATTCCTGTTTCATTATTCAGTTACATTTTCTTACTAAGGGCATATTATCTTTGACAGACATTTCTCCGCTCAGTTTGATTTAACCAACTTTTACGAGCACTTGTTCTTTGACAGGTACTGTGCCAGCTGTTGGGGTTATGGAGGTGAATATATTAGTTACGAGATTTACAACTTAAATTTCAACTCACCTTTGTCAGATATTAGCTTGACAATAAAACCACCCAAATGAGCTGCTGCTGTAAATTTTGGACAGAGTTGGCCTTATTTCTTACTAAAGGAAGGAATAAGTTGCTAATTAAAAAGCAAAGGTTAAATAAATTTTTTATTTCTAATCCTTTTTTAAAACAAACAAAAAATAACCTTTTCTAGCTGAAATTGAACCACATTTAAAATTAGATCATTACTCTTTGGTTGGATGGCTCTAACAAGGAAGTCATTGGTGTTATAAGACTAGTTGTTTCTGGTATAGTTTAATTTGCTTTATTGTTTTCTCATCCACCACCATGTGGTTATAAAATAGCAATCACATGTTCAATCAGAGTCAACAATTAGTAGTCTGGGGAGGGGAACTGTCTTATACCAGGAAGGATTTAATGTACATTTGTTTTACTTATTCAACAGTTACAAATGATGCGGAATGAATATGAAGTCAAGATTTGTCATCATGCATTTAAAAAGAATAACTTCTGTCAATATTTCTCTGGATGAGCAGTTGAGAACATTCATAATAGAACCTTGAACAATCTAATTTTCATTTTATGTGTTTTCAAAAAAAAAAACTTCACTAACAGAGTCAAAACCCTTGGAGGGTGTTGATTCTTTCTCAGATTTACCTTGCCTGGTGGCGGACAAGAGGTGTTTTCTGGCTTCAGGAAAGGAGACTGAACTCCCTCTATTTACATGTGATTTTTCTGGAAGGCACCTGATTTTCTGCTGAGCTTCCTGTCAGTGTTAACTAACAGACTGGATGTGTGTCCTTTCTCTTGAACTCTGGAGAATAAGTCCTCCCATAAAAGAATAAGAAAAAAAAAACCCAAAAGTCATTTCCAGAGATACTTGCCTTTGGGTTAGTGTTCACAAAGGAGAAAATTGAAGCCCAAGGGAAAATTTTAGAAAGAGAGATGAGTCTATGAAAATTGTTTTGCTGTAAATTGACTTTCTCAAAGTTTATTGATGGTGTTGGAGAGCCCTCCTGGCTCTGATAATAAAGTCAGTGGGTTATGTTTTTCAAAGTTAAAATGGCAAGCCATTTATCACCCTATATTTAACGGGAAAATATTTTTAGGTTAAAGCCGAGAAAATAATTGTAGGTTTTCATCTAAACTGAATCTCGTGCACATCTGTGTTTAGCTGTGTGTGTTCCACCTCGACATACGTGCACATTGCTGTGTGCACACAGCGTTCATGCTGCTGCTTTGTTTGTGGGTTCCGCAGGCAGTGTTCCAGCTATCGGTTGGAATTTGCCTGCTAATTTGTGCCTTCATTTAGCTATGCTTTTCAAAATACCTGTTCCACTTTTGGGATAATACACACACATTTTATAAATATTTTCATGTGAAATATGAAATGAACATTTTTTTCTTAAGGACTCAGTAGTAGCACAATAAAGTCAATCTCTGAAAGTGCTTCCAGGGTTAGGGAGGTGTGTAGCACTGGTTTTAACCTAGTTGATTTTATACATAGACAAAACTAGTGTGACAAATCAGTGAATTTTAAGGTTCTGTTGGAATTCTTAAAGGTAGTTTAGGGAATGGAAACTTATAACTATGTTTCAGGAGAAGAGCTGCTGGAATCATGTCAGTTCAGTTTCTGGTAATTGCTATTTTTGTTTCTTTTACTTCATTTGAGGTTTCATATGAGTCTCTAGTGACAGCAATAATTGGAAATGACTGAGTCTGGTTGAACTCATATTTTAGTCATACCTGGTTTCTCAGCACTGAGCCCAGGGCCAAGCACATACATGTTCAGGACTTGATGGAGTAAAGAGTCCAAATTCTTGTAATACGTGAAAAGGGAGAAGTTAGAGGCCATCAGTTACCTTCAAGACTCTAGGGCAGTACATTATTAGCCCTTGATAAAGTAATATCTGAGATGATGATTAGACCTTTTAACAAAAAATTTCTTCATTTTGAAAGCACATTTTTTCCCCTCCCTAGTGTTGAAGTACCATCTACCTACCACTTGCTCTGAAAGGGGTAGAGGCGAGAAATGGGGATATAACACTGTTAGGGTTGGGGGTAGATGTTCAAAACATTGTATATCCTTCCATCCTGCAAAGGCTTTTTGTAGTTGGGGGTTCTGTCCACACCCCCACCCCCATTTTTGCTTGCAACTCCTTACAACCCACTTTGAGAGCCACTTCTTTAGGTAGCCAGTGATTCTAATGATGTTTGCTGGGGCTGGAAAGAGACAAGAATTATAGTCTTGATTTCTCTACTCTTGGGACTTAAAGAAGCTTTTTGTTTTATATGATGGTTGCTGGAAAATAAGCCACAAGTGTTCTTTGCCTTGGTATTGCCTATATTCTCAGTCTTAACAGATGCCTGTAAATGAAAATTAACTTGAGAATTTGTTTTTTATAGTCTTTGTGTTATTTAAAATTAATGGATTATTTTGGAGACTCTAAAGTTCATTATTAAGATGAGGGAGTAAGTCTTTTTCGAAAAGGTGAAATAGGTAATCAAATATTGAATTAATCTGTTTTAGGTTCTGTAAGTCATCTTTTATTGTGATTCTCAACTTCATGAAATTTATGACCCTCTTGTGAAAAAAACCAAATGTAGTACCTTGTCAGAAAATGTTAACAAAAAACCTAACTGCACTAGAAAAAACACAGGTTACACTAGTCTTAGCTGCTGTTAAATCTTTAGTCAGTTATTATGATGGGATGTCATTTGATATTTCCTTTCCTGTAAAGTAACTTCATACAGAAACAAAGGAGGGTTCTGAAATTGCATGGCACAATTTGGTTGTAAAATGGTCGTTCGTGATCCAGAAAGTACTGACATTAGTATTTTAAAATCTAATATCAAAATGAAGACAAAGTAAAAATAAATAAATAAAGCACTCGACACCTTTAGAATATACTTTGTTTGTTCTGCTTTACTGAAAATACACTTGGGAGATGTCCCAAGTCATAGAGTGGGCTCATGAAAGAAGGTGAGGAGGGACAGGCTTATCATGTGGGAACTTGAGCTGGTTTTGGAGAAGTGTTAAGTAACTACAGCCACTGTTCCCTTTCAGCTCCCATATGAAAGATGCATCTCCTGTTCCTCTGATTGATGTTACAAACCTTCCTACTCCCAGAAAATTCCTTGATGGGTCTCAGTATTCTACTCCTGGAAGCTCAAGTGGTAAGTATTTGACATTGAACCACAAATTTCTTCTGCAGCTGCCATTCCCAGTCAAAGACCTCATGATCCCTTGGGGTCCTGGGGTGGGTGTTTCTATTTAAGTGCTTGGAGCCTCTGATGAACTCCTTGCCAGTCTCAGAGGGAATAAAATATAACATGACTGGTTAGGCCTGTTGCATTACTAGGGTTGAATCTGGCCCTTGTGCTGAAATCCAGCTGTGAATGTATTTGATTTGACCAACACCATTTTTCTGAAGCTGACTTTGAATGCTTTTTGATGGATCATGTATTTTCCTGTTTTGCAATGAATGACCTTTACCATTTGTATTAAATATGACTCTGCTGTTTCATGTATTACATTCCACTTCCAGTCCTGGAGAGCTTTTGAGTTGGTAACCCCCACCCTCTCTCCTGATTCTTGGTCTCTCCCCCGCATGTATCTGCATACGTCCATGTACATGGCGCTGACAAAGCCACATGTGAGACACATTGCTTTGGATGGCTCACTGTCTGCTGGATTAGATGAAGGAGAACCATGTTAGCCCATGGAATGTTGGGAGAGGGGGGCGTACTTGAATCCAGATTCTTGAGGAATTAGGGGAATTCTTGAGACATGCCTTAGAACTGCTTGTGACAGGGGTCAGCTTGCTGAGCCTTCCAGAGCACACCTCTGCTGTTGCAGCCTTGGGCTGGGGGGAAGGGCACTGGGTGTCTTTTGGGTGGAGCCCTGCAGGTGGCTTTTCCTGACAGTGAGGGTCTTCATTACTTTTTAAAGAAACAGGAACATTGACTATTGTTGACTTTTTAGGCAAAACTTAGTTTTTATAGTTCTTACTATTCTTGCTGTCCTTCAGAAATTGAATTAACGAAAGGGCAGAACAATAATTTGGATTCACTCAATACATTTTGTGTAATTAATTGAGAGTTTTACTTTGGAGAGTGTCACAGTGCATTGCTGTTGCTGGGATTTTGTAAAAGATATTTAATTATTTTTTTAAATACCATTTAATTAAGTGGTAGGCTTATGTAGGTTTGTAATCTTAAAGTTTATTGCTTTTTCTGGGGATAAAATTGTCGGAGCTAGGTTATAATAGATATTGTTAGTCCACACAATGACAACCCAAGCCTTTATTTTGATTATGGCAGTCTACAGAAGTTTATACTTACAATCTCCATGGAATTAAAAGATTTTATATTATCCCTTATTTCGATGCTATGTGGCTGTTCTTTGAGTTTTGCCACTGCTATTGTAGAATATGGAATTGTGAAGCAGAAAATATTTATACCATTTTACTTTTTTACCTTCTACAGAAATCACCACTTACACCCTTTGTGGAAATGACCAATTGTGTCTTTGCATTTCATAATATATATCATCATTACTTAGCTGGGTTATATCAATTTACATAAAGTTGATGAGTCAGAGGCTAAGTGAAATAGAAATTTTAATTGTGAAGAAATGAACAGGTTTTTTGCAAATGAAAGTGTGGTATAAATACCGAATATGCTGACAAATACCAATTACGGCAGATTTCAGTAGGAACTAATTCTGCTACATCTATTATTTTTAATAAGACAGCTCTTACTTTTTGATGCGCCCCTTTTCTGTCAGACCCTGTGGTGAGCATTTCTCACTTAGTGGAGATCTTGGTGACACTTTGACTTTGGCCATCTGTGCCTCGTTATCGGGATGACTCTTGGAGAACCACATGACCACTTACTGGAGCTGGGTCCATTGTGGAGACTGCAGCTGGACACACACATCATTTTGCAAGGTCTTATTTCCTTGTCTGTTGATCTCATGATTTGTCTGTGGATGACCGACAAAAGAGTTAAAGTGTTCCTGATTAAAAGAAATAATGGCAATCTTGGAGATGTGTTTCACTTCTGGTATATAAGAAACAGTATTTTAGAGCTTTACACGAGACACTTGTCTAGTCCTTCTACGAGGTCAGTGCTATTATTTGCTCCATATACAGATGAGAAAACCTAAGATGGTGATTAATGATTTTTCACCTGACCCAGCTGACAACTGGTAGAATTGTGATTTCAAGTCAGGAGCTGGGTTCCAGAGTATTCTAACTGGTTTTAGTGTTTATACCAAATTCACTGGGTATGCTCTCTGGTAGTTATCAGTTACTGCTACAACAAATCACCACAACCTAAGGTTGCTTAGGTTAGAAGTCCAACATGGGTCTCCTTGGGCCCAAATCCCATGTTGGCGGGTTGTGTTCCTTCTGGGGTTCCTATGGGGCTATCTGCTTCGTTGCCTTTTCTTGTTTCTAGAGACTGCCACTTTCCTGACATGAGGCCTCTTCCTTCATCCTCAAAGTCAGTGACAGTGGGTCACATCCTTCATACATTACCTTTTCTGAGCCACACTTCTGCTGCCTTCTCCCTCTGTTAAGGGCTCTCATGACTAGATTGATACCACCTGGATCATTTAGGATGCTCTCCCCATCTTGAGATCCTTAATCTTCACCACATCTGCAGAGTTTCCTTTGCCAGGTAGTGTCACAGATTGTGGGATTAGGATATGGATATCTTTCAGGGATCATTATCCTGTTTACCAAGCATCGCTCTGTTCAGGAGCCAAGTTTAAAAATGTGACTTTCTTGAAAATTACTTGTGAGATCTTCAGTCGCGGTGGTTCTAGTCTTTAGACTGTATTGATCTGGGTCACAGTGTTAAAGGGAATTGTGTAAATGAGGAAGATTCAAATTATATAGAGTAATGCATAAAATATTATTTAGTATATATAAAAGGGTGGGGCTGATGAAACATACCATGATAAAGTGCGCAAATATTAAATCTCACTAATGAATCTGTTTTAAAGTATTCTGGTCTTTGCTACAGGAAATTTTACATGGCCTCTGAAAGCTACCCTCTCATCTTGTAAAAGAGTGGGATTGAGAGAGCAATTATACATTAGAATGGACGTTTTTATATAGGAAGTTCCAACAGGTAATCCCTGAGTAGAACAGATCTCCCATTGGCATCCATAAATAAACTGATTTCAGATTATTATGAAATGAAAATTTTGGTTGCTTGCAAATGTGTCATTTTTCAGATGTCTTTTTTAGTTGTAAAGTTATGTTTTTTCTGTGGGAATTTATCATAGTTTAAATGTTAGTTTGCAGAACATGTGGGATCATTCAACTGGTATTTAGTGCAGGTACGATGGTCGTGATAATCACCATAGCTATACCTATTCCATTTACCGTATATTTAAGTTATGTGGGATAAAATCTGTGCCTCATCTAAATAAAAAGTGAAACATTTAATTACAAAATGTAGACAAAGTATGATTAGTAGAAACAGCGACCCATTAACAGAAAAATGATTAGTATCCACTTATCGTTGCTACATCTTAAAGAAGAAAAGAAGTGGGCAAGTAATGAGCACATGCCAGGTACATGGTGGAAAGGTTGGCATTATCCAACAGAAGCCATGTATTTAGAATATGTAAAGAACCCCTATAAATCAGTACAACAATCGAAAAAGGGCAAAAATATGAACAGGCATTTTGCAAAGGGAAGTTGATGCTAGTAAAAACATGAAAACTTGTTTAGTCTCTTTAGTTAATCAGGCGGTACTTTTAAAAATGATTTTGCAAATAGGAAAATTGAATCCAGGGAGGTTGAGTGATTAGTTCAGATTTAACCAAGATGGTAATTGTAGGACCTGGTCTCCCGCTGTTCCCACTCTAATATGTAAGGGACGTATTTTGCCAGCCTTTTCTCCTAATACTGTTATCAGTCACACTGTTTCATAATATACAGGGAAACTAATGTCTAATTTAGATGTGGTAATTCAACTATAACTTAGGTAGAAGGATGGGAGAAGTGTGGAAAAAAGCCAATAATTGTAGTAAAATGTTGATTTAAGCTTTTGGATTCCCACTATGTCCTTTCATTTGGCAAACTGCCTTTGGAACATTTTGACTGAGCAATTACTCCCAGGGTACACAGGCATTTCATTCGTGGCTTCTTGATTCATTTTACTTGTGCTCCTGCTGGGGTTGCTGTGAACATAACTATAATGAAGCCGGACTTCTTACTTCTTTTCTTTTTGGTGCTGACCTAGGTTAAGCAATAGAACTTAAAGAGAGCACAAATTAAATGCCTCCCCCCACCCTTTTGCTGCTGCTTTTTTTTTTTTTTATGTACCTTTTATTTCTTAGTTTTATTCTAAGATTTGACAGTTGCCTTAAGGATTTTGGGTCTAATTTTCAAAAATTCCTCTACATAGATGGTAGCTATGAACCCTAACATGAAAGGAGAGGAAGGTTTCTCCTTCTGGAACTTCATCTTTAGAATAGGATGGTGAAGATCTGATTGTCCAAAAATACTAGATGCCTTTTGAGTTACTAGTTTTACTCAGATCAGGGGCTTGTAGGCGTTTGAAGCCACCTATTCCTAACATCCCTGCACGTGCTCTGCAGTACATGAACTTTAGTTTCTCTACTTTCTTGCCCTTACAATGGACTTTATTAGTCTCTAATTTCTGCAGATTAATTTTTGCAAGTTGGACAGGTTTTATGATGTTTTAATTTTTGTTCATTTGCATTTCCGTGATTTCTAATGGTGTTGCACATTTTCCTATGAGTGTGGACTTTGGGGTCTCCTGTGAGTGGGATTTGCAGTTTATTATGTCATTCTCTCCCCTGAAATACATGAAATAGCTAAGCGAATGCTAATCATTGCTCTGTAATTTGCTTGCTTTCAGATAACTTCTAATTATAATTCTTACTTTGTTTTTATATCATACACATGTTTTAGATTTGGTATTAACATAATTAAATTTATTAATATTTTCCTTATCTGTATTCCTTCCGTTTTAAGAAATTCTTATACTATTTGGCAAAATGCTTACAAAAATGAGTAGTTATTAATAAATGAAGTGAGGTTTCTGGGGTTAAGAGAGGAGGGAGCAATGCTCATAGGATGCACAAGGAACATTGGTGGGAAAATCACTTTTCCCTACTATGATGTAATGAA